CTCCCACACACTGTTCCACGCACTGTTCTAGACGCCGACCTTCCCTCTCCACTGGTCGTCGGACCACCTGCCTCAACCGTCGAACCCCCGTCTGCTTCGCCCACTTCTATTCAGTCCAGCCATCCAATGTAACTCGTGCCAAGGACAGGATTTTCAAGCCCAAAATTTGGGTATCTTCCTCGGCCACCGCCTGGTCTCTCACTGAACGACACGGGTAGTTGATGCCATTAATACTCCGGTATGGAAAGATGCCATGGACCTCGAATACAACGCTCTTCTTCATAATCACACTTGCAATCTCGTCCCTCCTTCTTCATCTCAGAATCTAGTGGGTTGTAAATGGGTCTTCCGAATTAAACGGAATGTCGATGGTTCTATTCAACGACACAAAGCGCGGCTTATTGCAAAAGGGTTTCATCAAACCTCGAAAGTTGATTTCTTCGAAACATTCGGCCTAGTTGTTTAGGTCTCCACGATTCGAATTGTATTAACTATTGGTATGTCACACAACTGGGTCCTTCGTCAGCTTGACTCTACAAATTCTTTCCTTAATGGAACTCTATATGAAATTGTTTACATGGCTCAGCCTCCTGGGTATGTTGATGCTCGTTTTCCCAACTATGTTTGTCAGCTTCGCAAGGCAATTTATGGACTTAAACAAGCCCCACAGGTGTGGAATGATACTCTAAAATCGGTATTGCTGTTTGGGCTTTCACCAATAGCAAGTCTGATATCTCTCTGTTCATCTATAATCATGGTACTGATACTCTCCTTCTTTTGGTTTATGTGGATGATTTAATTTTGACGGGCAACAAGAATCATCTGACGAATCAGCTTGTCACTTATTTGGATAAAATGTTTGCTCTAAAAGATTTAAGCTCTTTATCCTATTTCCTTGATATTCAAGTTTCACACGTGGAGTCTAGGCTTCTGCTTACTTAGTCCAAATATCCAAATATGTCTGATGACCTAGTCCACAAGCATAATATGTCTCACTTAAAACCAGTTTCTTCTCCCTCTGTTATGGGTAAACATCTATCTTTTTTTATGGTCAACCACTGTCAGATCCTTATATCCATAGAAGCACGGTTGGAGCCGTTTAGTATTTGACCAACACACGTTCTGACATTGCATATATTGTCAATGGCTTAGATCAACCAACTGCAGGTGGTTAAACGTGTAAAAGTATCTAAGTGGGACTAAATACATGGGGCTTTTAATTCGTCCAAGCGATGACTTGTCTATTTCAACTTTTTCATATGCTGATTGGGCCTCGAATGTTGATGACAGACGTTCAGTTGCTGCCTATTGTGTGTTTCTAGGGAATACACTTGTCTCATGGTCATAAGAAAGCAAACTGCAGTGGCTCGCTCAAGTACGGAGTCTGAATATCGAGTTCTTGCTCATGCTTTTGCAGAGATCTCTGGTTTGTTTGTCTCCGGTCCTCTAGTGTGATAATATCGATGCTGGATTGCTTGCCTCCAATTGGGTCTTTCAGGCCCGTACCAAACACATCCTTTGTTCGTGACCAAGTTCAACTATCTGTGCTCCAAACTCGGTGTCGTTGACCTCCTCTCTCGTTTGAGGAGGGATGAAAAGGAACTGAGTCAACTCAGTGAGAAGACTCCACCCGTACAACCCAAGGTCACCTAAGCATGTGCTCAATTGTTCCTTTTTAACCAATTTTGTTATTCCTCGTTTATTTCTCTCCTCTCCTCATTCAACAGGTGTACTATCTTGTTGTATTTATCTTTTAGCTTTATTCTTTTAAAACCGTAGAGGTAGAGTATAAAGCGTAGCCTATTACTTGTAAACATCACATCGAAATATAGAATACAAAATGGTAAAAGATTTTTCCTTTTATTCTGTTTAAATGGACATATTAAATATAAAACTAAAAATTTAAAGACCTATTGGACAAATTTTTTAAAGTTCAGACATTTTTTTAAGCTCAAATAATAGACATTTGTAAACTTTAGAGACATGTTAGACACAAAATTGAAAGTTTAAGAATCTATTAGACACTTTTTAAAGTTTGGGAACCTATTAAACACAACTTTGAAAATTTTGAGACTAAATAGTAATTTAACCTACAAGTATTTTCTAAATTGTCATAGTTTTGTTTAAGTAAAAAAAAAAGTTATTAATTACCTATATTTTTATAGAAGTAACAATTTAGTATTTTTTTTATACAACAATTTAGTATTTAAAACTTAATACGTAATAATTTAGCGTGTATGGTATAAAAAGGTACGTAAGAGAGAAAAGTTTCTAATTCTTCCTACAAATTTTTAAGAAATTGGTAGAAATTTCATTGTTTTTCTTCTCTTGATAACTGATCTCCTGTAAATTTATATTAATTCACTAGTCCTATGTTAGGTAAATTTATTTGTTAGCAAATTTTAACATTTACTTAGAGAGAATAAAATTGAAAAAATTTAAAATATAAGAGACTATGTTGTGGGTCAAAAAATAGTCTTGCCATGTGGAAGACAGGAAACTGGAAGGACGAGGTATCCCCTGAAGTAAGGGGAACAATGACCTTTATACTTAGCCGTAAAACCACACTGAAAACCCCCAAGCTTATGCACTCAACAAGCTGACCTTCGGGACAACATGAGTAACGGTCGATCAGATCCCCAATCTATAAATAAAGCGCTTCAACTCATGTATCAGGTACTGCATTCTAGCTTATCTCTATACTAAGGTTGAACTTAAACTGACTTGAGAATCAGAGTGTTTTCTTCTCTTGTGCAGGTCTTTCTTCGTCAAGTGACACTCAAGCTCATTCCAACTGTCTCTATTGACCAATTCTGGCATTGCCAATTTTGTTGCACAAACCGACTATATTAAACAATTGGGACAAAGTTGAAAGAATTCCAAAACATGAAGGACTAGCTAAAACATATATTCAACCACAACGCTCAAACGATTAAGACATTATACATCCTTGATCAAAAGGTCGTAAATTTGAATTCGCACTTCCACATATTGTGTCTAATATGTCCCAAAACTTTCAGCTCGACCTTGTCCTGTTGACACACAAGGCACATCTTCACATACGCAGCAACGTCCAGTTTTGAATGTTTACAGACCTATTAGACACTTTTTAAATTTAAAGACTTATAAAACACAAATTTAAAACTATTCCAGTACTAAACTTTGTAATTTATCCTTCACTATTTTACAAGAAAGACCCTATGCCTATCAATATTTAGACTATCCTACATTAATTGAACATGGATGTGCCCATTAAAGTGAGAACAAAATTGTGCTAATTTTGTTGGTCATTTTCACATGTGAGCTGTGGCATGACAAACTCATCCTATATTAAATGACTACTAAAAAAGTTGGTCACATTCGAGATGAGAGAACTAAATTATGAGCATGCATCAATAAATAACAAATAAAATAATACATTTCAGTCATGTTACCATTTCAAACTTTATTTAAACTCTTAAATTGTTAATATATATATATATTTTAAATCCATCCTTTTGTGGATGGATTATAGGGCTTTTTAATTATCATTTTATTTTTTATTTTATGTTTTAAAAAGTTGAGCTTAGAAGCATTACTAATTTTTTTTATTTACTTGTTGAAAACGATTTCAAAAGTTTTTAAAATTTGAATAGGAATTCAAATGCAATTTTAAGAAAGATGAAAAACATTAAAAAAAAACAAAACAAAAGAAGCAAGCATAACTTTTAAAAATAGAAAATAAAAAACAAAATTACCTTACAAATTAGGAAAAGTTCATTTTGTTTACTTGTGTACCTGGCTGAATAAGTCAAAATGTTTATTTTAAACTTTTAATTCCATCCTTAGGTGGTGAAATCAATACCTTCCGACCTCAATTAATTAAGTTTTTTTTTTCCTTTTTCTAAGATGTTGTGGTTAGTTATAAGCGTTTTTTTTCACAACAAATCGTAAAAGAGGAAGGTTTGAACCTCTAATATCAAGAGAAAAAATATATGTTATTTACGGTCGAACTATGTTCGTGTAAGCAACTAACTATAAGCATTCTTGTTGGCTGAAACTATTCTATTTCAGTTCAATGTTTTCGAACTAGGTTTGAATAATTTATTGTTGAGTTTTATAGATTTTTTTTTTCCAATGGTTTGAATTTGTGGCTGAGTTTAGATATTTTTATTATTGAATTTGTGCATTTTTGTAACTTAATTATTTTTTCATAGAAAAAATAACCGAAACTCAATTTTGAGTGTTTTATTGGTTGAATATTATTTGATTATCGGTAAGTTTGTGACAGGTTTCTTAAAAATGTATTAACTTCAATGCTTAATTAAGCCAAGAGTTTAATTTGACGGACTAAAAGTTAAAAATAATAAAATTGACTTTCGGTAAAAGTAATTTTTTCTTAAGATATATTAATATGAAATATTATTGAACCATCAAAAATGGAAAACAAATCTGTAATATCTGAACAAATATTTAAGAATATAAACTCTGGATTTTACTTTTATCTACAATTTAATAAAATTAACACACAGGCTAAAATATTATTTCCAATTTCCAAACAAATGAAATTACATAGAATAAATTATATTTGTTAATTCTCCAGGGTAAATTTTTCCTTGGTTAAATTCTCTAAGAGTTTAATTTAATGAAATCACATAGAGTAATTATGTCACATCTCTTAAATGGCTTAATTTCTCCTCTAAATTTCGATCGTGCCATGTAGATATACGAGATCATGAACCATATTTCACATCCACTAACGAAAATAGTGTAACTATAAATTGTTAAAATGTACTAAACTGAAAATTAAAAAAACACCCAATCAATAAGGACTAAAACATTTTCTTTCTTTTTCAAAATAGAAAAGAAGAAAAAAAAAACAACTTGTCACTTCTTTCTACTCCTTATTGCTCCTTATTGCCAAGTCATGTCAAATTAGTCAATATGTTGAACAAACATATCATTATTTAGTTAAAAGTAACACCAACAATATTAAAATATTCTTAAAATCATAACTCAAAGTATTTTAGAACTAACCAATATTTATATCACCATGGAAAGATGTTTATTGTCACGAGGTTCGTTCATAGTAAAACTCAATAAATCATTTTTCAAACAGTAAATTTTTAAGGGTGCAATGAAAAGTGGTCAATATTGATTATTTTACAACATGACCGAATTCTATTTGGTGAGTAGTATGCTTAAAAAGGAGAGGCTGATATAGATAATATACGTTTTTAAACATGGTAGAGAGTAGACAAGTGAACAATTATTTGACAGGAGACTCAAAAGTCGTTTATTTGAAGGAGAAATGTGTTAGAGATGCGACAAAAGCGTTCCATATTAATTACAAACTACATCAAGTTATTTTATAGATTACCGAAAAAAAGAAGAAGAGTTCGAAATGATGTGAAATTCCTAATCTACCTAGATAAGTTTAGGTTGCCCCATCATATATAGGGTTTTTGGGTAGGTTTATCAAGGGAGGGATCATCCAACCTAACTTTGAAATTCTTTTAACTAGAACTAGAAAATGGAGCCTAAATTCATACCCTTATCTAAAACCACTTTTCATTTTTCACTTCCTCATGCTCTATATCTATTTTTTTTTTATATAATTTTTAGAATTAAATTTCAAACCCCAAAGCTAAATGGTAAAGTTAATTTTGAATTTATTTTTGTAGTTGTATCTATTTGATTTACAAACTTTAAAATCGTTCAATTATGCATTAAACTTCAAATTTGTCATTTGAAATAAGTTAATCTTGTTGTGTTCGTACAAAATATATAAGTTAGTTGATCTGACATGATGTGACCTAGAGAAGTTGATTTGAAACAATATATGTAGCAAAAGAAAAATGTTTTAGTGAGATAAAACAAAGTTCTTTCAAATTAACTTGTCCACCATCAAACTCGTGTCATTATATTTTACTCGACAAGTCTACTTCTTTTTGTCATCATCAAACATTTATTTGGTACGATGTGGTAAGGGGGTGAACTAGCTAGTTTTCCTTCAGATAACTCACTCACCTACTATAACTGGTATTATTTTACTTTATTTTAATTCATTGATATACTTTCTTCTATTACCTATCAGTCAAGTCATATCGAGTTAACCAACATTTGTTCTAAATAACATGTCACGTCGTCATTTTGTAGCATTAATAATATCAGAAGCTTCTTTAACATCACACTTCAAAATTTAAATATTCAATTCAATTTTTTTTAGAGAGGAAAGGACACAAACATCAAAATTTAATGACTTAATTCGTAATTTAATATTTTGAATTTTTTTTTTTTTTGGATAAAACACCTTTAGTCCAAATTTCAAAAGGACACTTTTGGACCTTAGGTTTGTAAAATCATTATAAATAACTTAGTTAGTTGACTCACATGAAGATTGTTGATTTGACAAAATATATAAATTTAATAATATTTTTTTAATTGTGATTCGACTTTTCATCTTCATCTTCTCCTTTTTCCTTCTCCTTCTCTTCCTCCCTCTCCTCTTTTTGGGCGAACTTCACCTCTAATTGTTGTCGCCTCCTTGTCGTTTCTCTTTCATGGAAGATGAACTTCCTCTTGCCGATCAATACGAGAAACATTGTGGTCGTCGGAGATGAATGAGGAACCACGAAAATGAGAGGAATAGTGGGCGACAACAAAGTCACTAGAGAAAGGGAAGAAGAGAAAATCCAATCACAATAAAAAAAATATTATTAAATTAATATAATTTGACAAATTAAAATTCAACTTAACCATCCCATCATCTAAACGTTCAAAGTATTTTAAAGACCATCTAAAACAATGTTACAAATTTTTAAGGAAGACAAAATGGAGATCCAATTTAAAATAACAATTTTATCAAAATGATATACATTTGTAATATATTTGACTACTAATATATGTATGTGATATACATCTGAAATACGTATGTGATATATATCTAATATATTTACAATATGTATATGATATATATATGACATATTATCGAAACGAGTGTTTATGCACTATGGATGTGATATAAAAAATTTTATTCCAAATTTTGAATCAAATATTTAAATAGAAATTACCAAAATTCCCTTTAACCCCTAATCCCAATTAGGAGGTATAGTTATTACAAGCATATGCATAGCTTGTTGGGGAGTTAGTTGGCCCCCTCAGTAAATCCTCCGGTGGCCTTCTTCTCTCCTCTTTTAATGCTTTCGTACAGCGGCCGAACTCTCTACTCCACATCGCCATCAATGCCTCTCTTCCTCATCAGATTCTTCATCTGTCACAAAAACCCATTTCTTACAACCCTCTTTCACGGCTTCCTTCGCCACCATTTTTGCTCTCTTTCCTTCCCCCTCCAATGGGTTTCTTCCTCTCTCTTGTTCTCTCCAATTTGCCGTTTTGAGCTTCTCTTTCGCCGTCTTCTGTGTCTGATGGGTCTTTGAGAGCTTGCTTCCTCCTCCATTAATGGTGGGGCTGTGGGATCCTCGAATGTGGTGAGGTGGGTCAAGCTGTTGGGAAGAGATTGGTTGTGGGAATTCGAATTTAAGCCCCCATCCCACTTTGTAGTTTCCGCCAAGCACAAGATCAGACCGACTTAATTGACTTTTTTTTCCCCATTTTCACACACAGCTTGATTTTAATATTTTTGATCTTTTGTCGTCTGTTTTGGGGTTTTATTGTTGGATGTGGGTAGATGAACGAACCCTCTCGGAGAAAGCAATGCCGCATTTGAATATTTCGATTGTTTTGAAGTTGGGAATTTCCAGTTTGGTGGTTGGGTGAAGCTTTTAGAAACTGGTAGAAGTGGGAATTGTTTCTTCTTTCGCATTTTAAATGGTGATTAGAAGAAAGCAAACCATTCTGGTCTGAGAATTTGATTCAATTAATTTATACATTAGCTCCAACAACTTGATCTGAATACTGTAGATTCTTTGAACAGAACCCGCAAATATAAGCATCTTTTAGGGTAATTGCATATCGGATTCTTCATTTCTTCTTCTTCTGGTGTTGTTTCTTTAGTTTTTCTGAGACAATGAGTCACCATCCTCTCTCACATTCAAATGGTTCAACTCATAACTGCAATGGATTGGAAGAGAAGCTTGAAGAACTCAGAAGACTTCTAGGCAAATCTGATGGCGATCCACTGAGGATCGTTGGGGTGGGAGCTGGAGCTTGGGGAAGTGTTTTTGCAGCTCTGCTTCAAGACAGCTATGGCCAATTTCGGGAGAAGGTTCAAATCCGGATATGGAGAAGAGCAGGAAGAGTTGTGGATAAAGCTACAGCAGAACACCTCTTTGAAGTGATAAACTCAAGGGAAGATGTGCTTAGGAGGCTCATCAGGAGATGTGCTTATCTTAAATATGTTGAAGCTCGGCTCGGGGACCGGGTGCTTTATGCGGATGAGATTTTGAAAGACGGGTTTTGCTTGAACATGATTGACACACCCCTTTGCCCTTTGAAGGTGGTGTCTAACTTGCAGGAGGCTGTTTGGGATGCTGACATTGTGGTCAATGGCCTGCCCTCTACTGAAACAAGGGAGGTTTTTGAAGAGATAAGGAAATATTGGAAGGAGAGAATCACAGTGCCTATTATAATCTCTTTGGCAAAGGGAATAGAAGCTGCTCTGAAACCTGTTCCCCACATAATAACTCCTACTCTGATGATCAATCGAGCGAGTAAGACATTCGTCCCAAGTTTGTCATTTCATCTGTTCATTTGCATAACATGATCATTAAATGTGGGGATTACATTTTGTTTTGTATGTTAAAAAAATGAAAATAAACAGATAAGAACGCTGCAAACTGAAAAGGAACTATTGCCTGTATGGTTTTTCTGAGTTCATAGCTGGGAAAAGAATGTTATTTCTGAAGAATTTATTGACTGCGACGAACATTTTTCTTAACAGCTCGTTAGCTCAAATTCGAGAAGTCTAGATTAAGAAGTATGTGTGTGACTGTTTCTTAAAAATAAAAAAGAAGTATGTGCTGATTGTTAGTCTAGTGGGTTTGGGTTTGTGAAATTAATCTAAAGGTATTATTTGTGGCAAATTGTTAAGCATATGAATTGCCCTATAAAACTGAATTTGATACATTTGGTTCTCTCTGGAATTTTGTTTTTTTAGTAATAATTTTGTAGTCTCGTGATCCTGATGTTAACTGTTACTGAATTGTTAGGAATGATAAATATTTGGAGGGAACAAAAAGACCCCTACTGATAATTCCTATCTCTTCTTCTTCCTTTGCATTTGTCTGTGCAAATTCAGAGAACCTTTGCTTCAAATTTTCTCATATTTAACTTTGAATTCTCCCAGCTGGAGTGCCTATAGAGAATATATTGTATCTTGGTGGACCAAATATTGCCTCGGAGATCTACAACAAGGAATATGCTAATGCTCGAATTTGCGGAGCTGAAAAGTGGAGGAAACCCCTTGCAAACTTTTTGAGGCAACCTCAATTTATTGTCTGGGATAATAGTGACCTTGTGACACATGAAGTCATGGGCGGTCTGAAAAACGTCTATGCTATTGGAGCAGGCAAGTGGTAGATACTTTCTGGTTAATAATCTCAATAGTGATGGAAATTACCTCTCTCTATCTCTTATGTTACATGTTTGAAATGTGATTTTATAGACATTGAGCAAGTTATCTCTTCATACTTCATCAATTGTTTATAAGATTTTGAAACAATATGCCATCTGAATCCTTCTCTACAGAAGAAAGGAAAATGAGCGATAACAAATTGGCAACCAGTTTGATTGCAACAATTTATATATTAGACCTTCCATATTTCACTAAAATTATGTTTTTCAACCTCCTAGCTTGCATTGTAAGGTAAAGTCTGTTGTGATTGATTATCTACAATTGTTAGAGACTCGCCGAGCCTAAGTTATTAATATCAAAACGAGAAGCGAATTACAAACTCTTTGAGAGGCCTGGACTCTTCTTATTCTAGGGAACTCTTTTAGTCCCTAGGCCACGCATTGATCACTAAATATTCTACCCCGTCATACCTTAGAACTCAGGGATACAGTAGTACAATCTATAGAATAGATCTTGTTGACGTAAAATCTGTCACACCTCACCACTTAGTACTTATTCCCTATCCTAACTGTTGTTACAACCTGCAATTTTCTTTCTATATTCATTGTTATTCCGTTTTGAATTTTCAGGAATGGTGGCAGCCCTTACAAATGAGAGTGCCACCAGCAAATCAGTATATTTTGCACACTGTACCTCAGAGATGATCTTTATTACTTACTTGCTAGCAGAAGAACCCGAGAAGCTTGCAGGTCCTTTGCTCGCCGACACATACGTGACCTTGTTGAAAGGTCGTAATGCCTGGTACGGGCAAATGTTGGCCAAGGGTGAACTTAGTCTAGATATGGGTGATAGCATTAGCGGGAAAGGAATGATTCAGGTAATCGACTGCAATGTTTACCGCTTTTGTTTCTTGCTCCGTTACAATCTCCCCATCTTTTACATAGTTCAAATATGGAAAATCATTTGTAAGCGCGATGTGTGGCAGGCACGTGCGATGTTTTCTCGGTTAAAACTTTACGAACTATTTTCCGGAGTGATAATTTTTTAAAGCAATTCCTATACTTTGGTAATGGTCTTACAACACCCTCTTCTATTTTGCAGGGAGTGTCTGCTGTTAGTGCTTTCTATGAAATTCTGAGTCAATCAAGCCTAAATGTATTGCATCCTGAAGACAACAAGCCTGTTGCTCCTGTGGAGCTTTGTCCCATCTTAAAGACACTATATAAAATACTGATTAAAAGGTAAACTTCATAATGCTCGTTTAGCATATAAATATTAGTTAGATTATAAGTTTGGTCAATGAATTTTACAATGAAAAAACTTCTGTTAGTTGTAAGTTTTGTCGAATAGGTCATTAAACACTAAAAATTAGATCATTCTTTGAACTTTCAATGCTGTATCTAATAGGTCAGGTCTTTGAACTTAAAAAAAATGTCCGATTGATACATCAACTTCCAATTTTATATGGAATAGGTCTTTGGTTTTTCAATTTTAGAACCCAGATTTACGAGACATTTTTTTAAATTCAGGGACTGTTTATTTTTATTTTCTTTTATAAGAAACCAAACTTTCATTGAATATACGAGAAAAAAACAAATACAACAAAAAGGGATCCACCTATAAAAACGAACTGCAATCCAAAAAATAACAGTTAACTGGCTACAAAAAAGCCTTAGAAACTGACAAAAATAGGGAGGTACTAAATCTAACAAACTCATAATTTCTACGGTAGACCTCTCAACTCCCCTAAAAATTCTACTATTCCTCTTAATCTAAATACCCCATGAAATAGTAAAAAAAAACGGGGGGGTTTGCCAAACAGGATCTCTCTATCAGAAAAGGGAGAAACAACCGATTCAAAGACTTATTAGACACAAACATAATAATTCCTGGACTTATTAGACATTTTTAAAGTTCCAAGGTTCTATTAGACATAACTTTGAAAGTTTAAGAATCTATTAGGTTTTTTTTTTTTTTTTAAGTTTCGAGACTTCTTAGATACAACTCTCAAAGTTGGAGGATCAAACTTGTAATTTAACCTAAATATCATTTTGAAATTTGCACATTGATATTCTAAAAATAAGTTGATATGAACTAGTTCATACAAGATCTTGCTCGTTTAACATTTTCTTTCATTTGAACCCCTAGAGTGAGCTTAAATATCAACGTTTTTCAAACACCATTTCTCTTTTCTCCGTGTTTTGGGTTTTTAGGGATGGATCGCCACAAGCTATACTTGAAGCATTGCGAGACGAGACCTTGAACGATCCCCGAGACCGCATCGAGTTGGCACAGAGCCATGCTTTCTACAGGCCTTCACTGCTTGGCCAACCTTGAGCTGTAGTTTCAATGGCAAGCTCACATAAAACTCCATGGAAGTTGTTCCATAATATGAGCAGAAGCAGAAGCAGAAGTCTGCCTAAGTGAGATATGAACTTTTGAACTGTTTGGTCATGTATAGTCTATAGCTTTCTTTCTTAAGGTTATATCAGAATTTCACAACTTCTTGACCCATTCAGTGAAGTTTTCATCATTGATGGTTCAGATTATTTCATCACACTATGCAAGGATCATTGTGTAATTTCACTATCCACGTGGGTTGGGGTTGAAAATTCACTCCATTTTCGATTAGGTGATTTCTCGGTAGATTTGAGTTCTATTTCTTCGCCGAACTTTTATTTGTATTTCATTTTAGTCTTTGAACTTTAAAACGTTTTGTTTTAGTCATGTCCTTTGTTCTCAGATTTTTACATGGTGTATTTTGTTCGTCTATTCAATGAATAGCGGTTCATATAGTGCATACATGTTTTTTAGTTGATTTATTCGAGATTAGATATCAAGTCAACATGTTTTTAGTTAAGTTATTCTATGAATAGATGTTTACGTAGACAAGTGTGTTGAAACTACATGTAATGCATGTAAGAAGTTAGGAGGCCGCGTTTGAAACGATATCCAAATTTCTATTAAAATAATTAGCGAAAAATTAATCGAAAGGATAAAATTAAGTTTTATGCCAAGATTAGGGGCTAAAATAGATTTTAAAATTTTGGGATCAAATTGTGGTAATTCTTTTTAATCTTCATCTTTGTACTTTAAGATAATCAGCTCGAGTTCAAGAAGTTCCCTCGTAGGGGTTAGATTTTTAATAGAGCAAGTGGGAGATTGACGTAGATGGCCATAAAATTGGAAGAGAAGGAAAAGGACCAAAAAAAAAAAGAAAAGGTCAATTACTTAGCTACAACTAAGGTTCGAGATCGAGATGTCGATGGAAATGTTGGGATCCCGATTTTATAGGCATGTCGATGTGGAAATTGATAGAAATTTTTTGAATTAGTAAATAAAACATGAATGGTAGCTTAGCTTATAATTGATTACTTTTAACCATTATATGTAGGAATATGACCATCTTAGTTATGAAAATGTCAACGCCGATGAAAATGTCCACACAAGATTTTTTTTCATAGGGATGGATGTACATTTTTGAAGAAGTAACGTAAAGTTTAATTGTAATTTAGTTTACCTATAATTGTTCATTTTAACCATCATATCTAAATATATAAGTAATATTACTGGAACAAAATCATGTATACATACGTGGAAATTATTGGAATTATTAAATTAAAGTTCATTGTTGCTTGATTATGTTTTATTGATAATTTCTAATCCAATCTAATCTTTAGTTACATGATTGAACAATACATATGAAATATTGACATATATAAAGATTGAAATAATTGTAGAAAATTTTTAAAAATAAAAATTTATTATATACAAATGGTGATGACACAAGAAGTAGAACATGTAACTTAATTAATACCAAAAAGATGATATTGGAAGATCTAGTGTACTATCTTGATAACTTTGATATATGTTAAAATAGTCCTCTTAGGTCATCCTAGACTGAAAGTGTTGAAGGTAATTGCTAAAATGTGTAGAATATGACTCATACGAAGCACATATGAATCTCATTTGATTGGAAAGTTGGAAAGATGGTTGATTCGAAAATGTGTCTGAAAATTGTGGATTTTAATTTGAAAACAAAAGTAGGTAAAAAAGTAAAAACTATGAATTAATTAGAAATGTGTTTGGAAACCAAGTCAGTAATTATCTTGAATTCCTATCATGAAAGAGACTAAGAAGTAGCCAACTTCTAATACAACAATCTATATCTATAGTATATATAAAAGGTGGGGTGAGGAGAAACTTCAATATATCATTTTTGCCCTTTCATTATAACTCTCCTCACTTTTCTTTTGATGGCAATTGTGTCATTTAAATACAAACTTTCTCTCTCTCAATTTATCCTTCTCTCCTCACGATCTCATCCCTCTAAATTCCCCTATTTTCTCTTACTAATATTCTCTCTATTAATTATTCTTTCATTAACTTTATCTTTCTCATGGATTTTTTTTAACTCCTTTCATCTACCACATACCCTCTCCCAATCCTTTCATCTTCCTAACCCCCTTCCAATTATCACATACCCTCTCCTAATCCTTTCATCTTCCTAATCCCCTTCCAATCCATATATAAATATGTGTCCTCTCTTTCTCATGCCAACCAAAAATCAAGAGGTGGTGGATGGAACAAAGTGGGAAATTTTCCAAGTGGTGTGAAGGTATGAAGATTACTCTCTTGCTTTAGCAACGACAACAACAATGCACATATGGGTGATCGAGAGGAAAATTGATAGTGAAGAGAAACCAAATTAGAACTGAGTTGATGACATCGGTTCACTTTCTCAAATTTATCATTGTTCAGATTGAAAGAAATTCTAGAGTACGATGTGTCAAGATGGTGGTCGATGGAATCGAGATAAAGCAAAATTCGATTATTCTCATAATTTGGATAATAAGAATGCTTATGAGTTTGATTTTTATTTATTTATTTTTTAAAGTGATGCTTTTGATTCATATATGTGAAATGTTTTAATTATTTTTACAAAGTTAGGGCAAACAAACAATTTTTATCCCTCTCAATATCACCTTTTAGGGTTTACTCTTTCTCTCACTCTTACCTTTCTTTTTCATTCTAGAATGAACAAACTCAATGATTTAACGTCACACAATTTAACAAAGATAAAATGTAATATAATAATTTATAATCAAGAAAATTAGAGGTAAATTAAGAACGTTCATTCATTAAAAAAAAAAAAACTTGATCGTTGGTACTTTCCATGCTAATAATTCATCATCTTCTTTTATTACAACAATATCATACCTTGAATTTATATTTATATATAATCACTTTCTTTCTTTAAAATGATAATATTATAAACTTNATTTAACAAAGATAAAATGTAATATAATAATTTATAATCAAGAAAATTAGAGGTAAATTAAGAACGTTCATTCATTAAAAAAAAAAAACTTGCACATCGGTGCTTTTTCATATTTCTTACACTTCAAATTTGTACTTACTTTCCATGCTAACATTTCATCATCTTGTTTTATTACAACAATATCATACCTTGAATTTATATTTATATATAATCACTTTCTTTCTTTAAAATGATAATATTATAAACTTAAAAAACACTATTTGTTTTACTTTAATTTAGAACTACAAGATTCTACGTGCAACGCACGTGTTTCTTACTAGTAGAAACTAAACTCTGAATCTTATATTTTTAATGATCTCACCAAATCTTTAGATTAAAATGCAAAGGTTGTATTGAAAAGATTAAGATTACAATCATCAAGATTGTAAGAGATTATACGATTGTAGTAGAAAGAAGAAGAAAATAAAAGAACCAAAATCCACCCAAACTCGTAATAGAAAGAAGAAGTAACAAAGGAAAGAAGAACCAGAACGAGAAGAAGAAAAAAAAATCGAGCGACATTTGAGCCGACATGTGGACGACATGGGGAAAAACGATTATCCTCCGGTGTCAATATCGAGCACCTCGACACGTCGACAGTCGACATGTCGACGTGTCGCTCGACATTTGAGACACTAGCTACAACACAAGTCTAACTCAACAGTTAAGGCAATCTTACTTTTTCTAGAGGGTTGAGGTTCAATTTTTCTTCTCCATGGTACTTAAAAAAATTAAACCTTAAACAAATTAATAATGTTTTTTATTATTTCAATCAAAAAGAAAGTTTTTTATTCTTAAAAACTACCCTCCTTGTTGAAATTTACAGGTAAATTACAAAAGTTAAAATATTGTTTTATTGTTTTGGTCCCTGTGTTTTCGAAACATTTATTTTGGTCCCGCTACTTCCGCTACTTCAAAAAGTCTATTTTGGTGTACTTCTAAAAAGTGAAATTTTTTGTCCTTTCATTTTCATTTTTATCTTATTTATTTGGATCACATGTGTTTTTAAATAACTGTGAGTGTTTGACCAATTTACGTTCATCTCGACTAATCTTACAAGACATCGTAGGATATTAAATCTTAAGTAGGTGGCCACTATGATTTGAACTTATTATCTATAGATTCTTTAGGATTTACCTTTTACCAATGGACCAATCCATGATGATTCTTTTAGATCACATTTTTTGCATGACACTTCACTCACTAATTTTTTTTAAATGTATCAATAAATGTGCATTAAAGAATTTTAATTATATATAAATTTTGTGTTACAATTTAACAAATAAAGACTCAAATTATCACTTTTTAAGAGTACAAGGATCAAAATAGATGTTTCAAAACTATAGGGATTAAAATAAACAAAAATTAAAAATAAATGAACTAAAATGAACAAAAATTTAAAATACAACGACTAAAATGAATCAAAATTAAAAATATATGTGAATTACAAATTTGTTTCTTAAAGTTTATACAATAAAAGTTTTTTCCTTGAACTTTTAACTATCAGACTTATAATTCTAAAATAATTCAAATTATATCCAATAATATCATAGAATACTATATTTTATGAATTCATTCCATTCTAATTCATTTAGTTTGGAATTGATACGGTCCGTCCCAAAACACCTACTAGAACCAGTCGCGTCGACCGCAGACCCCGACTAACTATGAAGTCAATGGTCATATTCTTCTTATCTTTGACCCGAACTTTAACTAACAAACTCTGAGTGGATGCATAATAAAATAATAATCTTAATAGAACCACCATAATAAAACAAACTCTGGATATATCGATGGACATGTCTTCGTAGTTAGGACTCCATCTCCTAAGTCTATATTTGGTCATGGTTCTAAATATTTGTCGACATGTTCATCGATATATCCATGTTTCCATGAGTTCGATATTGACATGAGGGGTGAATCGATATTTCCGGTACAAGAAAATCGACAAAATGTAAAAGAATATCAAAAAATGTCACTAATATATATAATATTAATTATTTTTAACTAATTTAAAAAAAAATTTATGATTTTTTAATTTTTCTAAAAATATCCATTGATATACTTCCATGAAATTGAGATCCCAACCTTTTCTTATATCAACGTTTAAAGCCTTTTTGTGTGGTATAAAAAAAATGGTAATATTTATTTGTTATGGATCTTTTTTTTAAAAAAATTCTTATAGAAAGCTGAAACATCCATTTTCCACAGACGGCGTAGGACTTTCGTCGAGCACTCAACGCTGCATCTCCCTTGGAAGTTGAGAGCTTTTGCAACAATGGCGGAACCATTAAGAGGCGGCGGCCACGATCTGGAGCAGAGCTTGAAGCCCTTCTTTCAAAGAGCCTCCGAGGCCGAGGTTTGATTGCGAAACCCCTCATTTACGGCCATGTTTTAGTTATATATCATTGCGATTTCTTGAATTGATTGTCTGAGCACTGTTGAAAGGATTGAAATGAATTTTGGATATGGTCTCCTAGGGTTTGGGAGGGGATTTCGAATTGAAGTTTGTGGCTGTCTAATGGAATAGGTACTTAGATTGGGGGAAATTATCAGCCCTAGGGTAAGTAGGGAACTAATTTTTACTCTGATCACTCTACGAAATGCTCAAAGTGTCAATCCGTACACTTATAATACCTTAGATCATAATTCATCGCTTAAACATGGTGATTGATAGCTGTTCAATGGAGCTTGTGGGCTCTTAGATTGAGAGAAATAATAGAATTTTTAGAGTTGAGAGATCTTGGAAGGACGTGTGGACTCTGGCTCGATTTCATGTTTAGCTTTGAGCTTTGGTGTCCAAAGCTTTTTGTAGTTACTCGTTAGGTTTGATCTTGCTAGATTATCCGTTCTTTTAGTTTGACTCTTTTTTATTGGACTGTTTTTTGTATGACTTTTTGTATTATTTCATTCTTCTCCATGAAAGTTCAATATTCTTTTTTATGAAAATCATGGTGATTGAGTAAAACAAAAGTTAAAATACTATTTTGGTCGTAATTTCAGCTTTGGTTCATTTTGGTCCTTCTTGTTCTTATACTTTCAACTCTGGTTCATTTTAGTCATTCTTGTACTTTCAACTCTGGTTCATTTTAGTCTTTATACTTTCAAAATGTTCATTTTGGTCTTCATACTTTTAAAAAGTGACTATTTTTTAGTCCCTGTTTTTAAAACAGAATCCAAAAGAATCACTTTTTAAAAATACGTGGACCAAAATGAACGTTTCGAAAGTATGGAGACTAAAATAGTCAAAAGTTGAAAGTACATAGACTGAAATAGACATTTTGGAAATCTAGAGACCAAAATGAACAAATGTTGAAAGTATAGGGACCAAGGTATTATTTAAAATTTTTTAAAGAAGGCTTAACATCAAATATCGTACGAGTTTTTCGATGGCAATTATTGTAAGGTTTGAAGATTTCTTGCGAGATAGGTTAAGATGTGTCTTTATGGTTTTTGAAATATAGTATAAGTGGTATCAAAACGTTCAAGTTCTATGAAACACACCTAGAAAATAATGACATTTCATAGTGCAATTAATTACCTACCGATGAACTTCTTCCAACTAATCTAAACTACTGACACAGAATTTTGCCTTCTAAAATCTGAAGTCAGAACAAGGCTATGGTTTCTTTTGAAGTACTTCACCGATTAACATGTCTGCTTCCTTCCTTCTATAATGTTCTTCAACAACTGTGATAGTCGGATAGACTGTACTGTATTAGATTTATCAGCATAGTATTTTTGAAATAAATGCTTTAGCAAAAGCAGTTCCATTCTAATTCTAATGTGTTTAGTTACACATAATTTTGATGTTTGGTTCAAGTGTTCATTTGTTCAGTAGCGATTGCTTTTAACTTTTCTCAAAAGAACTTTTATTCTGCACCTTACAAGTGTTTACTCCAATCTTGTAGCTATTGTTTTTAAAAGTTTTAGAGACCTTTTTGCTTTCCATTATTCTGCATTCATACTTATGGCAATGTGCATGTATTTCAAGGATCGTTTGTCGAGACTAGAAGCCACACTTTTGAGCAAGAAAGGTACATCTCATGGCTGATTCTTTAGAAAAACCATACTTTTATAGAGCAAATGAATGAATATGTGCACGGACATTCTCAAATGCCCGTGACGATGAACATCTAAACGTTTTGAATATCATCCATCTAGATACCTGGGACGAGGAACATCTTAAAACGATTGCCGAACTTCAGTCAAAGCTAGACAGTGCAAATGAAGCGCTAATCGCTGAACGAAAAAAGGCGAGTAGCATTCAGTGTTGTTGTTTTGTTTGTGTTTGATCTTGATTAGATAAAGAGGTCAAAAACCAGAGAGATTGTTATTTGGGATATTTTTTGCAGGCTGAGATTGTTGCTGCAGAAAATGCAAAGCTCCAGTATCGCATAATCCACCTTGTGAGGACAGCCAGAGAAGCCCATCAAAAGTTGGAGCAAATATGACAGTTTCTTCCATTTGAAAGAGAGAATTGAATGGAAGGTATTTTTTTCTTTTAAATTTTCCTTGCAATCTAGAAAGAAACATCGTTTTTAGTACAACATGTGGAGGTGAGGTAGGGATCGAAACCTCTTAGTTGGAAATAGATACCAATTACGGTTGAACTATACTCAAACTAGAAAGAAACATCTGGAAGGGAATTGTTGAGATAGTAAATTGAAGAATTTGAATGGAATTTTTGAGATCGGCCAATTGGGAAATGAAACATTATTGCCTTCGAGAGAATAGAGCGTTTGCGGAAAAAAAAAGGCACCGTTAGTTCCATTGCAGACAGAGAACAAATTCTACCTGTTGATGCCTTCTTCAGATTTTCGATCTGTAAATTTAGATATTCGTCAAGCAATTTGTAGTTTCTTGGAGGAAGGCTTTACATTCGTTATAAAATGGGAAATGAAATATTGTTGTAGATTAGTAGGTTTTTCGAATGAGTTATGATGCCACATAAATTTTTTTCTACAAATTCTAGCTTCCAATATATTTCTTGAATCAATTTATTTACTACCATGGTGAGAAAAAAGAATGTTAAAGTATATCGAGCATTCGTCACATCTGTGTGCCCACTTAGGACATTAAAATTCTACGAATTTTCTTTACCACTAAAGATTAGAGGGATAAATCAACATGAGTTTAGTTTAACAATAATTGATACCTATCTATAACCAAAAGTTCACAAGTTCAAATCTTTCGACCTCACTTATTATACTAAAAAAAATATTATAAGGCTAAAAAAAATATTATAAGGTTAAAGTTCGATGTTTGAAAAATTATTCAATATAGTTGTCACAAGGTGGTTACTCAATTATTAATAGTAAGAGCGCTCAGAGTTATTATACACAAGTGGTTGGTTCTTTAAAATTTATATACTCATAATAATTCAATATAGGTTTAAAATATAATTTTTGAATTCTTCATCATATAGCCAATGGTGTTGAATTGCTATCTACATTGTTCTAGTTCTGGTCTCTCAAATAATGCCTACATTGTTTTTATTTTTAAGTAACTTAAGCTAACAATACTCTTATTTTGACCTCTTGGAATCATATTCTATATTTTGTTGAACTTTTAAAATATGAAAGGTATTTTTGAAAAAATTTGCTTTTAAAATTTGACTAATACTTTATTCAAAAACTGCATTTGAAAGTAGAAACTAAAACAAAAATATGATGAAAGTAGTCTATAGTAAAATATTATTAAACTGCATTTATAATTTTTATTATTAAAATATTAGTTTTATTTATTATATAAATAATTGAATAATGTAAAGTAATTTTATTTTTAAAAAAATCACTCAAATTAAAAATTCTTTTTGTTTACTCAACTATAAAATAAGGAAGGGGATTTCTTTTTTTTTTTTTGTTTTCTGTGAGATTATGTTTAAGGTTAACAACCAGTACACCTCAACACTAAAAATAATTAATTCTTGTACTAAATGTACTTACTAAAATTTTTAAAAAAAAAACAAAAAGTTTAATCCTCAAACTTTCATGTTTGTGCCTAACAAGTTAGCAAGAACGATCATAAACACAAAAATTAAAAGTTTAGAACTATTAGACACAAAATTCAATTAATGTATAATAGATTCAGTCATTTAAAAAATGTTGTATAAATAGGTCATATACTATTAGATACAAAATTAAAAAAATACTTTAAAATTAAAAAATCTACTAAATATAAAATTAAAAGTTTATGGTTCTCTCAAACAATTTTTGAAGTTTAAAAATCTATAGACAAACTTGAAGGTTGGAAAACTAAACTTATAATTTAATCTGATAAATCAAAATGTTGTGCACATTCACAAACTAAACATGTTGAAGTAACATCTAGCTTGATCGATATCTTGTTTAAAAGAAGAAAAAGAAAAGGTACAATTACAATCAATTCAATTCAATTCATACTATATAATATTATATAGATTACATTGTCTATACTTGGATCACACAATTAAACAATACAAGAATTCTTACCATGACAAGTTGTGTATAAAATTTATTTTGAAAAAGGAAAAGAACACTACTGTACTTTCAGCTTAGGTTAATTTTGATTCATTTTAGAACCATCATTTTCATTCTTGTACTTTCAAATTTTATTCATTTTAGTCACATTTCAAACCTCCATTAAAAGTGACCATTTAACCTCTTCCTTTTTATTTTTACCTAATTTATTTTGATCAAAAGCACGACATTTTGCAGACTAAGTTTTTTAAAATATAACCATAAATTTCATTGTGTATAAAATTTTTTTTAAGATAAGAACATTGTATAAAATTTGTATTAGAATTTTCAATAGGAACCAAAATAGTCATTTTCTAAAACAATAAACGCAAACAATAAAGACTAAATCATTATAAAACTAATTTGTTACATAACTAAATTGTTACTAACTTGAAAGTAAATGGACGAAATCATTACAAACTAAAATTCAATGACTAAATTGTTACTAATTTGAAAGTACATGGGCAAAACCGTTACAAACTAAAATTCAATGACTAAATCATAAAATTATAGAGACCAAAAGTGTTTTTTAACCTTACTCTTTTTTCCCTCTTGTTTGCCTGATGAAATATAAATGATAATGCATGTAATAACAATTGTTGTCTTATTTCAAAAAAATAAATAAAATAAATAAACAATTGTTTTCCTATTATATGATATCAAGAGAAGTTTCAAAATTTAATTTTAAAGAAAAATGAATCATTAGTTTGATACATATTTTACAGGCCAAGGGAGGGAGAAAAATAATATTGTGAGCAAGAAAATTTTATGAAATACACTCTACTAAAAAAAATACAAATCAAAACAAAATTAAGAACCAAAACCAGAAAATAGAAAAGTTAAACCAGGACTAGGAGTTCTCAAAGCCATAATTCAAAATCATTAATAATTTGGGGGGATCAAAAAGTGATTCTTCCTAAATTTTAGGAACAATGCCCCAGGAAAAAAAAACAAAAACAAAAACAAATGAAGCCGAATATAGGAACTCAAGGATACCTAAAGGTTGGCTAGTTAATACAAAAACAAGAACAAATTCAACATCAAATCCAGAGACACAAACATGGAAATCTAAGCTGGATTAAAAACCCATAAGCAAAGCTTCAAAATCCACAAAAGCTGAAGGATTATGTACATAAATATGGCAGCAGCAACCAAAAAACTACAACCAATTTACCGCCATAATCCAAAACATCTATACACACAAAATACTATCTGATCTCCTAAATATCTCCATTTCTAACCTACGCATTCTTTTTTGCACAAAACTTACACATTGGAAATATGTAGATTCTTTCTTCTTTTCATATTAGTGTATTTTTTTCTTTCTTTCTTTCTTTCTTTCACGATTTCCCTATCACTATCTTTGAGAAAATATTTCCAATAGACTAAGAAGACTGATTAAAGAGAGAAATAATACCAACCTCGGTCTGTTGTTCTAACAGCGATCCAGTTTGCCGACAACCTGTTGGAACAGCACCTCTTTGCGAAGCTTATGATATTTGGTCAATTTGAGTTCCTTTGCAAGGATCCTCAGATCTACTAGAGTCAAATCTTTGAGTTTGAGATATGAGGAAGGCAAATGTGCCAGAGTTTCAGCTGAATGATCATTGGTGGTGGCACACGAGTTCACTGTTTGTTTGTCTTCCCCAGTTCCACTGTCGGGTTCGATTTGATCTGAACTGGAAATATCATCAAGAGATAAATCTATAAACTCTGGAGCAACCAGCATTTTTGAAGTCTCTATATTCAGCAACAAAGGACCTAAGTTCTTGTCTACGTCAAGAGCATCATCCTGGATTTTGGCTTTGAGGTGGCATGGCTCAACTGATTTCATTTGAGGCTTCCGTTCAGAAGGCAGATCTAAGCAGGCGTTGTCTCCAATTGCTCCCGGCTTACGGTGCTTTTTAGCTTTTGAATAAGTATCTACTTTGCTCAGCCCCTTTTCCATCAATGCTTTAAGCTTATGACCCACGTTCAAATGTGAGTTCTCTTGAGAAACATTCTCAACATTTTGCGAATCTTCTGGCAATAACTTGTCCATCTCCTTGGTCTGGGTTCTGGCTACATCTTTACCCTGCTGATGTTGCAGCTTCGAAAGCAAAGTTAGAGGGAAATTCAAAGTGTCAAATGTTCCAGGTCCTTCAGCCTCCAAAACTTGTAGAATGCTGCTGTCCAGCTTCCCTTTCGTGTTCGAAGATAAACATGAAGAGGCACTTCTGTCGGATTCAGGGAGAACTCGCCCCTTACTGCTCTTGTTTTTCTTCCTTCTTAAAAGAAAATCAATTAGCTTTTCCTCTACATTGCAATTTCCACTCTTTGAGCGTGCTGGAGAACTTAAACCGGGATCAAAAGATCTTTTGTTTCCACTTAATCCATCTGATTGTCTTGGGGCATCTGGATTGGCATTTTCAGAAACAGATTTTCCTTGCTGCTAGTTGTAAAGAAAATTATGTTACAAAGTAACTGATAGAGCAAGAATATTCAAAGCTTTAATTGAAAAGCTGAAGTTTGCATGAACGTGGATGGCCACAAGTACAACCAATACTATAACGTTCACTAATCTTTGTTTAGAAATTTCAGTTACTATTCAAATTGATAAAAGAGCCAAGATTTCAAACCTTCTGGGCTTTCAGAAGGCTGCATCCGTCAACTGCATTTTCAGCTGACTTTGACTTTCTGCTCATATATGTATTACTTGTTGGGCATTTCTTAGCTTCCTCAATCTCTACTTTCAAAACAGACTTCATATTTTGAATCTCTACCTTTGAAACAGACTTCATATTTTCTGATTTCAAACAACCATTTTCTTCGGTTACTAGAGCATGTGAACAAACTCCCTCCACTGCAATTTCAGGCTGCTGGGAAAATTTAAAATGTCAGCACCATAACATAGATATACTAATGATGATATGATCACTCAATTACACTGTTCGACATTTGATCTATCAGACTAATGCTTAAGCTTGCTTCAACCGAGATCCATCATGTGACTCTACCAAACACAACAAGAAACTAACTGAAACTAAAGCAGAGGAAAGCATACCTTAACTTCTTTATCACAAATGCTACCATCTTCCTTCTGCTTTTGGGCTGAAACATTGGGTGTTGTATCCACTGCCAGCAAAAGGGTATTGTCTTCTATTTCTTCACTTTTGACTTCTACGCCAGAAATGCTCGGAGTTTTGCAGGACAGACCAACTAACTGCATCAAAATATAAGTACTTTGGATGTTCACAGTCATGTTCGCATGCTGATCATATGTTGCATAAATTACACAATTTTTACAAGGGAAAAAGGTAAAAAAAGAAACTTCACATAAGATGATAGTTTTATTTTTTTTTTTGGATAGGAAACAAATTTCATAAAGTGGTCACATAAGATGACAGTAAATAACACATAATCAATAAAGTGGTCACTAGCTAACTTTACCACAAGGTTTTTACCTGGTTGTAGACAATATTCAAGGAATAATCTTCTCCAACTAAGTTAAATATCAGATCTTCCTACTTTAAATTTGATTTACCCCAGGTAAAAACTAGGTAAAGCATTTAGTTATGGCATTAAGATGATCAGAATGTGAATTGCAATTACAGTACTAAAAAATAATGTATAAAGTAACATAAAGTTCGACATATATTACAATGACTGTCTGGATGCAACAATACAGCTCAATCTGTCCCATTAATCAAATTTTTATAAATAGCCTAGTGTATTAGTAATTTTCTTAAATATCTCTGCACATGAATAAATAGAATGCAAAGACTATTTCAGATTAATTTCACAAATAATCAAGCAGGTCCCTGAACCTTGAACTCTAGATTGTTGTACAGGTTTCAGTGATGGATTTTCATGTAAATCATATCATTCTACATAAGACAAAGTCTCCAATTTTTATTTTTTTTTATTTTTTTTTTGAAATCCGTGTGTCCGGACCAGCTTGCGCGCACCTCGACTAATCACGGGCCAACCGTCAGACCCTACTACATTTGGTTGACAAGGTAACTCGTAGGATATTAAATCCTAGGTAGGTGGCCACCATGGTTTGAACTCCAAATTATGGGGGGGCAATAATTGAGCTTCTCAGAATATGAAAACCAAAATGGAATAAATGGTGGTACTTGGACCACAGGAGTGCTCTCTAACCTTAAACCATTGAAGTTTTAGTTCAAGTTAGAAAGATCAGCTACAAATGCTGTCATAGGATAGGGATAGGATCTAAATATGTGTCACAAGACAATTCATTAGTGTTCACAGTGTTGACTTTCAACAAATTAAACAGAAGGTAAACAAGAAGTTAAGACCCGTTCAGCATTTGATAACCAATTTATTTCTTATTTCCTGTTTAAAAAATTTAAGCTTATACACACTACTCCCACATTTGTGTTTTCTTCTTCTGATATCCATTTTTAAAAAAATGTTTTCAAATCTAAGCCAAAATTTTGAAAACTAAAAAATGTAGTATCTATTTATGAAATTCGGCTCAAAATTCAAATGTGTTCTTAAGGTGAAAAATACACTAAATAAATTGTGAGAAAACAAGCACTGTACAAAACCTGTTTAATTGAACTCTAACAAAATGGTATTTTTCCCCTCCTTTTTTATTTTCCCTTCCTTTCGAGTTAAAAAGCAAAACTGTACAAAACCTGTTTAATTCTTTCAATCTATATGCGAGAGAATCTATTTAGCTTTAAGATCCACAGAACTTGCATCTTTTTCAGATATGATTAGCTATATGGTTATTGTCACACTCACCACTCCCACTTTCTTCACAAATCCTCTGAAATAGGCAGTATGAAAAACAATAGAACTCCGTTTCTTTCTTATTACTAAAAATCCTTCCTCAACAAATTTTTGCAATATAGAAATGATTAAAAAGGGGTCGGGTGTCCAGGAAATATAACAATTAATCTAAGGTGACATAAAATAAAGGGAATTATGATGCACCAGGTTCATATCGTTAAATTCAAACATATGAGAAATTACAGAGCAGGATGCATCTTCATCCGAAAGGAAAAAACATCAATGAAATTTCAAATAGAGCACAACATGTACTTCACCAGATGGACAACTCTGCAAAAGTTCCTTAATCCTTAGAATTATTTAGATAGAGAGAAGTTACTTAGGATAATGAAATAGACATCTAACCAGCACAGCAACATCCACTTAAATTCATTAAATGGACTGCACAACCATTAGGAATACCAAGAATTGATGCAACGTAAACCACTTTCCAAAGATTATATGATTCTGTAAAAAATCCAAAAAAGATTTTCACACTTATAAAAATCTCTACATACAGTAATTTATCAAGTCGTTGATAATTAGAAGTGAAAAATGCTTTCATGAAGTTTTCTAGTCTTATTTCTCATATTTGATGAACACTGACTTTCTAGATCTCAGAGGGTACAGAGAAAACCTGCCCATCATCTTGTTCACGACCTTCTCCAAGTAGAGGCTTCAGTATCTCGTAAAATTTCTGTGGTGGTTGACCATGCAAAGGTAATTTATCATCTGTATTAATCTTACTACTTTGTCTCAAGCTCTTTATCGAACCATCGAGGATGTCAATATTTTCTCTCAAAGCATTACAGCATGCTTCAATTTGGTTTCTACCTTCTGTCCAAGCCAGGTCACATTGAAGCAACAAAAGATCTTTTTCAAGATCATCAATTTCAGCATCTGCCTTCCTTATCAATATCTTCAGTACTTGAACACAATACTTCTCATTCATAGCATTTTCTTCTATAACATCTACGACGACAAAAGTATAGCAAAAATAAGTACCCCAATTGTTGAAGTGAGAAAGAGAGAGAGAGAGAGAGAGAGAATATGATAATCGTATGCAGATAAAATATTAAAAAAAATAAATAAATCAAGTTTACCTTTACCATTACCAAAGTAAAAGTCAGCCTGCCATCCAGATTCCACACTGTAACTACTTTCATCTGCATCAGAAAAACAGCAACCTGGAAAAATCCTTTACAATCAAATTACCTTGAAGCTTGATTGTTCAGATAACTTAAAGGGAAGTGACAAGGAGAGATCAGTAGAACCTTGATCATACGGCCAATCCCACAGATCCCCGTCCATGAAAGTCTCATAAAATTTATCCTACAAAAATAAAAGTGAATCACCATTTTGGCCCAAGACAGAAGAACAATTCCACTAATCAACTGATAAACGAATAGTAGAATCATGATGCTGCATTATCTCAACAACTAAACAACTTAATACCATTAGGTTATAACAATTTCACTTTAGAATAACGGAATTCAGAATTTATCAGGAAATCTTCTCGTTTCCGCCTCATTGAACAAGAATCTGAACAAAGAAGAGTACTGCACAGCATTCAGAGTACGCCAGATCCCCAGACTTTAACATTCAATTAAAAAAAAAAAGAGTATAACTAAATTAATTCGATTATTAAATCACAGTACTTGTTCGACAACATCCACAGAATATTTATTCGTAACTCAAACTTTCACAAAAGAACGAACTCAGCACTCCAAACAACGCCTTTTAAGGGGAAAAACATAGCCAGCGACGTCGCAAAACGTTAGGGTACAAGCAGACCAGATCAAAACTAGCGACACTTTACCGAGGCAAACAGCAAAAGAAAATCAACCAAAAAAAAAGTTATCGAAATGCAGAAACAATGCGCAATGAAAACAGCAAAAACTAAGAACTAAACAACTCGGAAATTCTGAAGACCGGAAGCTATTCATTCCTCAGAAAACAACGATTTCCACGAGCAAAGAAACAGCAGAAACAAAAACCACGACAAGAAGAAGAAAATGCAGCATATTCCGAGAGGCGAAAGAAGAAGAGAAGACAGACAGAGAACGGTACCTGAGAGCGAGAGAGAATTGCTGCTGCTGCTGCTGCTGCGGCTGCAACTGCACGACTGAGCGCAGAATGTGACGAGGTTCTTGAGAAGAATCCGCATAGAGAATACGAGAATGTGGAGCTGCAGCGGAGATTAGGGTTTCTGAATCTTGGAGTTTGAGAGAGAGAGAGGAAGGCGGCAACGAAATTTTTTCTCTGACAGAAGAAGAGAAGAGACGGGTGCAACTGAAAGGGACGAACGGTCTCTTTCGGAAATCACGTAGCGGAGGTGGAGAGGTAAAACCGTCAATTCGCCTCTCCGGAAGTTGACGCCCAGAAGTTTTGGGCCCACCGCATCAGAAAATTCTTTGGGCCCACTCTCTGGATTTGGACGTAGATAATCATAAGTAAGACAATATTTTAAAAACATATAAATTTTATTTTTTATATATTATTTATTAACCTATGTTAAATTAGAAATAGAGTCCATGGAATTTGACTTCTCTTTTTTTGTTCCTACGCGTACCTCGGCATAATTCTTAAGGTAGATGGTCATCATGGAATTTGAACTCATTTTCTCTCAATTACCCTAGCCTCTTTGGACCAAATGAGCCACCATGATGGTTTGACTTCTCTTATTTGTTACGCAATCTTGATTCTATTTGTTTCTTGTTTTCAAATTCATCAAAAATTATTTTTCTAGTAAGAAATTTTTTTTATTACAATTAAAAAAGAAAAAATTAAGATGTCTAACTATGTTCCTATTTACATAAATAGTATAAATTCTAAAAACATATTCAGTGTTTTCAAATTTTGAATTCGAAAATAAAATTAGATAAAAAAATTTTGATAAATATACTCTTTGATATTTTAAACTTATTTTAAAATTAAACGGATAAAATATAATATATTATAAATTATATAATAATAATTCTATAAAATTTAAAACATATACGTTAATAAATTAATTAATATTACGAACTAAATATTCAATTTGTAACTATTGTTTACAACCATATTATTAAATATCTTAAACAAATTAAAATTGAGATTCAATTTCCAAACATGTTACCAAATACATATTCGAAAAATACTTAAAACATGGAATAAACTATATTTTTCATGGAATCCATTGTTTTTAAATTACCAACCAAACTCACCTAAATTTCTTTCAACATGTAGATATTTTCACATCTTTATAAGTCTGATATCAGTATTCCTATTATACAGAAAAGAATCTATAAAGTATTTGATAAATAATATATGTCTTAATTAAATGAGTTGTATGTCATCGACTTTTAGGGGCCATTTGATTTAAGGTTTTAAGGGTGGGGAATAAGCTTGGACAGACAAAGTTCACGTTTGGTTGGAGGGTTATAATTTATATTTGTCTGGAAATACTCTTTTCACATACATCATTAATAGGTTAAATCAAACATAAGAAAGCAAAATGGTGGATTTGTTGAAAATCCTTCTCCCTCGTAAAATCATATTTCTCTCTCATAAAATCATATTTTTCTCTCTTATGCAACAACTTTTCAGTTCTCTCGTCATATTCATTTGAAATTTCTTCTTCCTAGGGTGAACCATTTTTACATTGCTATTTTTTTTTTGTATTTTTTTTATTTCTCTTCCTCTGTTCTTGATATCCGGTGAATCATTATTACACTGCTATTTTTTTTATTTTTCTTCCTCTGTTCTTCTTTTTGTACTTGTTATTTTAATTTGAGATGAAATTTATTCTATACTATTATCTTTTCCTTTGTTCTTTTGGTTATTTTCGGACAATTTTTTTTGGTTGGTATACGAGAAAACCACTTGATAAGAACCGCAACTACATGGCTTAACACATGAAAATGCTCCAGACAAATGGTTGTAAAATTATGTTCAACTACTTGAGAATGAAAACATCCATAACACTAAAAATTACTCAGTTTTTAACTCACAAAATATAATAAAAATAAAAATCCCTTCAGTAACAGTCGGTCGCTTTGATACATATTCTATTTTATTTATGAAATATAGCATTGATTATTAATTCTTCCATTTAGTTACTGTACTCATTAATTTTAATTAAAAGATTCTAAATAATATTGTTAATTTTTTTTATTTTATTTTAAGATTTATTTCTAAACCAAAAAAATAAATAAAAATATATTACTTATAATAATTATAGTAAGTAATGAAAATTAAATTTTTTTCAAATTATTTTAAGTAATTTGCTTTAATAAAAAGTGATTGTCTAACAATAATTAATTATTTAAAATTAGTTAATGTAAATTAATTGTTAAAAGTAGATTTTGATATCATTCCAATGCACAATCAAACAGAGGTATCTTTCATTCTCAGGTATCTTATTCTCAGCTTCTTATTCCCAAACATCTTATTTCCAAGTAATCTTTTTAAAATCTTGAACAAAACAGCCCCTTGAGATTCAACGCCTTTATAAAAGTAACCTTATTTATAATACACCAGTATTTTACTACATCTTTTTAAAAGCGATTTTAATCCCTGTTTTTTTTTTACTATATGTAAAAGTGATTTTACAATTTTTGAATTACCACGAAGTGATTCTTAATCTATCATGTTTTAGACAATCAACTTGAGTTATTATTTCTTAAAAAAAAAATTTGTTTTTAAATTGAATTGGTTATTCCAGATGTGATATTTATTTGTTACCTAGATTAAAAAATATATTTTTGGTATTCTAAAATCGTTAATCCAAACACACTCATAATCTATAATTTATCCATTAAGATTTGTTAGGAGTAAAAATCGACTATACATGTGGTCGAATCCCCAATGCCACGAGGAACGTGGGTCTCAGCCCAAACTCATTAAGCTTATAGGGGAAGAGGCCCACGTGCCCAACAACGTGCAGCTCTAACGACGTCTTAGACAGAGTGAAGTTGGCGGAAGAAGCATTGATGGGCGGTAGGAGGACAATCCGGCGCCACAAAAGTATCCTTAAAATCGACTAAGAATCCTCTACCTGACTGTATGACCTAGATTTATCGGAACACGGACTCCAAGACCGCTCCCTTATAAAAGAAAGGAGTCAAACTCTTCTCAAATATATGCAATACCTTACATCAAATTTCTTGTTTTCCTCTTAGCTCTTATGAATTAAGTTCTAACTTAAGCTTCTGCACACGAGAAAGACTCCACTAGTGTTGATTTACTAAAAAAAATATAGTTTAGTAAATCTATAATCATTAAATCAATAATTTGACGGCAACTTAGGTACAACTTAGTGTTGATTTGAAGTGAGAAGATTTATTATTATTATTTTTTTAGTACAATGTATGGTTGAATTCAGAACCTTTTGATTGGAGATATATATCAATTGCGGCTGATTTATACTCGTTTTGGTGAAGTGAGAAGATTTATAGTACTCTTCTAGGCGTATCTACTTATTTTGTTCATAGTCATGAATTTTCTTTTATAACTAATTATGATACATTGTTAGACTCTCTGTCATTTATAAATTTTATGGACGCGACGAGCAATAAAATAAATTGTCATCCATATCATAGTAGAAAAAGGTGATGGTGTGTCGTTTTGCTCTATAATGACCTAATTACTAGACTGTCAATGTCACGAGTAGTTAGAGCTTTTCCACCACCGCACGTTACTAGGTTGCCTAGGCAATTATCATGTGCCATTTCTTTCTTTATAGATATACAATGATGAAAATGTGATGAAGATGCCTTCTCTAGATCATCAAAATGTTGTCAAGCTAAAAACACGAACCAATTTAAGTACAAGTGTTCGAGAGACACTCCACTAGTGTCTAGGAAATGATAGTCAGTACATTGTACCAAAATAAGAACATTTCGGCTCATATTTAGAAAATGTACAAGACTCTCAATATATAGAGAAAGCCTCTATACGTGGAGCAATACGATAGGTAAAGAAAGTAACCAACTATTACATAGAGAAAATAGAAAACTAGACCAAGAGAAAAACAAATAAATATCATTTTATTAGTGTCCAATAATGCCTTTTTATTAGTTTTTTAGCGTTCTTTTTAATTGTTTGGATAACACAATTTGAATATATATATTAATTGTTGATATGAGTACGTAACATAGTCACATAGGTACCCTTAAGGATGAATAGCAAAATAATAGCAATGATTAAAAGGAATAATAAATAGTTTTCAATTTTATTTTAATGTTTTGTTTCAATTTTATCCATGGTTTAAGCTTATTTATAGTTTAGTTTTTATGGTTTTAGAAGTTTCAATTGGATTTCTATAATTTAATCCAATTTCAGGAATCGTCGATGTTTTTTATACGTGATAATGATGTGATATTATATATTTGAATAATTATGTTCATTGAATATGTAATGTTTAGTTCTAAGCATAAAAAAATAAAAGAAAATAAGTTGACTTTTCTATTGGCAAAAAATATTTTAGAGGCAATTGTTAAGATTTTATCAAATTATAGAGACCAAATTAAAATTTCATGGATTAATTTATTTGAATATAAGAGCAAGATTGATAAATTTAAAACTATACAAACCAAATAGAAACTGGGGCAAAATTTATAACTTAATACTTTTAGAAATTTATGAAATAAAAGGAATACTTTTAAAATTGTTGATATTTTCTTCTGACAATATCAACCGCGGTGGGCCCAGTGGTCAAAGGAGATAAAGTTAAAGTGCCCCAAAAACCACGGTAGACTGGGGACGTGGACGTCCACGTGGTGCCAGTAGGGACACGTGTAAGCTTTCAAAATTCCATAGTATTAGGAATATTGTGTGAGTAGCACAGAGGATTGTTTCTCGTCTGAAAGTAGTGGGTCAAAATTGTAAATAAGTATGGGTAGTGAGGGCATTGTATAAGCGGGAAAACCTTCGAGTTGCCACTTTTGGAATCTTCGGGAATCAGAGAATTATCGTACCAATAAATCCTGACAATTTTGCTGCAAAAATGCGACAGCTAAACCATACAGACACGCCATTTTGTATTAAATTACATAGTAAGTTAAAAGAAATATAATATAATAATTAGAAAAAAATACTTTCCTGCTTAATTAATGGTAACAAGTGCCAAAACGAGTACAGTTTAGCGATAATTAACATATACTAATCAAGATATTGAATTCGATCCTCCATCCCTATATATTGTATTCAAAAATAAACAAATGGTAACAAATAATTTGTACTTACCACAATTAAATATTTGACAATTAAGGGAGAAAAATATAAAGTATATATTTTTTATAAAAATTAATGAGGTGTTAATTTTTCAATAGTGGTAAAGACAATATTTAGTCTGAACCAAATATTTTTCATAATTTAATTAAAAAATTAGGAAAATACTTGGCTCTTTAACAACGAAGACCAAATCTTGACCTTACCACGGTTGAAAATTTGACAATTCATTAAAAAAAAAGTCATCTTTTTGCACTTCTCACTCTTAGTTGTCAAACATTTAATAGTGGTGAGAACAAAATTGTTTGTTACCGTTAAGGAGCTAAGTATTTCCAAAAAGTTATTAGTTAAAACTTAAAATAATATTTTTGTCTCTATACTTCCAAACATCTGTGCATACACTTTTGAAAAAGTGATCATCTTGGTATCTTCATTTTATTTGTTTACCTCAACTTTTCCATCACAATTTCAACATAATAATACACTCAATATATTTTTTGATATGTAGTCGTACGTCATAACTTTAAATCGAAGGGTTTGAAAGTACACGAACCAAAATGAACTAAAGTTGGATGTTCAATGATCAAGATAGACATTTTGAAAATAGATAATTAAAATGAGAAAAAAAAGTATAAAAATCAAAATAGTATTTTTAACCCAAATTAATTTTTTTCCTAGAATTAATTTTTACCATAAATTTTTAGCTTTATCAAATTCAACCTTACACTTACATAATTGTTATTTTTACTTTGGGTTCGATTTCCACTCCTTCACCAACTAATTTCAATAAAGGAACAAAAAAGGAAAACAAATATTTAAAAAAAAAAACTCACTGATTTAAATATTAAAAATTAATTCGACTATTAAATAATTATGTCAAAACTGATATTTAAAAAAATGCCATAACTCACCAATTTTAAAAAAGGAAAATAAAATAAAATAAAATAAAACTCTCATGTCCTCTTAATCATTTCAATTTTATACTGGACATTTTTTTTATAATCCATGAAATGCTGCAATTATTGTTAAAGTTCAAGTGAAATTTGATGAAATTGAATGTTTATAATAGAAAAATTGATTTTTTTTTCCTAAACTAGTTGTTAGATAATTAGATTAGAGTTAATCCCAAAATATTGGTAGTTTAAAATTTTCAACTGCATTCCTAAAATTTAATTAAATGATATGTCATCTATTGAAAAAATTTATAACAATTTGGATAAAATAAAGTGACACTTACAACTTTTTTTTTCCTTTTATTTTTTCTAAAGCAGCATTTCAAATGAATTTAGCTAAGTAAATTAATAAATGTTTTTTTACCATGTAAATATGAAAAAAAAAACAATTTTTTTTTTGCAAAGGAATAAAAAACAATTGTTAATGCATAGTTAACCTCATTAATATTATAATTTTAAAATTAATAAAAATTTATCTATATTATTATAGTTAATGAAAATCTAACCGTACAGAGACTAAATAAAACTATTTATAAAACTCATAATTGGTTTTGAAAATTCAAAAAGCTTTATCTAGAAAAATAGAACCAAACAACTAAAATTGCAATCGACTTTATAATTATTTTTCCGAACAATTTTTTGAACTAAAAAAGTTTTCAAATGTTTTTCTCATTACACAGTTTAAACAAATCAACCAAAAACAAGTCTCTTATTCCCTAAAATTTTGACTAATAGAAGTTGAGAAAAAAAAATCAAAATTTACCTTTAAACTTGTTAAGTTTTATTAATTTTTACCATAAACTTTCAATTTCATCTAATTAGACCTAAGCTTAGATACGTTTTGCAATTTTTGCAATCTCTTCAATTTTTGCTAATTAATTGACTAATTTAAACAAAAAGTAATGTAAAAATATAAAAAAAACTTACTAATTTAAATAAAATCAAGTTTCACACTAAGTTTAATACATCTACAAAATCGAACATTAAATAACTCAGCCAAAAAATTCAAA